TTGGTTGTGGGGCTTGAAATCTGGGTCTGGGCGCTGTCCCTCAGCTCTTCAGCTCAAGGCTAGCACTCTACCACTTGAGCCACAGCGCCACTTCCAAGTCCAGATAACAACCATATTCTTTTTCCAGCACAAACATGTTTTATTAGATACCTAAAAAACTTACTGAAATGGAAAAGCAGGTGGTTTAGCTAGAGTACATAGTGCCATCTGTTAGTAAGGTACTAACCGGGATTACAAACATTTAGAGTATTAAAATTCACAAGGGCTTCAGGTAAAAAACAATCTGGATTTATCACTTTTAGAATGACCTATTGTCATTACTTTTAGAATGACCTATGGATATTGTGCGGGCAAAGAGCTTGCCTGGCATAAATGAGGCCCTCAGTTTGAACCCAAGCATCATCATCATCATAATAATAATAATAATAGGAATTAAACAATTGTGGTCAAGTGCTTGTTCAAAAGTGATCCAAGGTCACACAAAACAATGAATGAAGCTAGTGGCTCATGCCTGTAGTCCTAGCTATTCAGGAGGCTGAGATCTGAGGATCGAGGTTCAAAGCCAGCCCAGGAAAGAAAGTCCTTGAGACTCTTATCTCCAGTTAATCACCAGAAAACCAGAAGTAGCACTGTGGCTCAAGCTATAGAGAACTAGCCTTAACCTGAAGAGGTGAGAGACAGCACCCAGCCCACAGTTCAAGTCCCACAACCGACCCCCCACCCTCCAAAAAAATCCCAATGGCACTTTCAAGAGAATAGCATGAGACTTGGGAACAAACTGCAACAAAACCCCAAACCTTAATTTTCATATCTTTATCTACACTTTTAGATAGCCTTCTAGATTTCTTGGGCTTTTAAGTCAAGCACTGGTGGTACAGACCTTTAATCCTCACTATTCAAGAGACTGAGATGTGGAGATGGGAGTTTGGGGCTAGCTGGGATGGAAAAGTCTGAGAGACTCTATCTCTACTTAACCAGCAAAAAGCTGGGCTGTAGCCATGGCTCAAGTAGTAGAATATCAGCTGAGCAAGCAAGCAAGCAGGCAAGCAGAACAAGGCCTTGAGTTCAAGTCCTAGTACAAGGGGGAAAGAAGGTAGGAAGGAAGGAAGGAAGGAAGGAAGGAAGGAAGGAAGGAAGGAAGGAAGGAATGCAGGCAGGCAGGCAGAGAGGGAGGGAGGGAGGGAGGGAGGGGAAAAAGGAAGGAGGAAGGGTTTTTAATTAAACTTTGCCTTCCTGGTCTACAATTTAGCAATCTGTAACAAATGATAACTATCATTTTCTTTATGATGTTTATTCTCCATGATACACACCAATGCCGGAAGGCTGTATGGGCTCCATCTCCTGGATCATACTCAGGAATGGTTGTTTTCAGATATTCCTTTCTAGGTAGTTGAAGCTGGGTGCTGGTGGCTCACACCAATAATCTTAGTTACTTAGGAGGCTGAAATCTGAGGATCCTGGCTCAAAGCCAGCCTGCAGAAAAGTCCATAAGACTCTTATTGCCAATTAACCAGAATAGGTCCAGAGGTGGAGCTCTGGCTCAAGTGGTAGAGCGCCGGGCTTGAGCAAAAAAAGCCAAGTGAGAGTGTAAGCCTTGACTTGAAGTCAAGCCCCAGTACCAGGAAAAGCTTCAGACAGTGAATGAATTGGATACACTATGGGAATGAATGAGATTTATTGCCTAGTTTTACTGAACCAATTGACTTGAGGCCTCTGAACATGGTGGTCCACTGGGCCAGCCCTACATCCTTGCTTACAGTGGACACCCACATCCTTAGTGTTGAAATCTACACTAGTGTTTTATCTATGATTTTCACGTTTCTTAAGTTAGACTGGTGTAGAGATTCCCTTTGGGGACTCTCCAGCTTTGATATCAGGGTCATGTTTGCTTGAAAGAACGATCTGGAAACTTTCCATCTTTTTCTTTCCAAACCTCAGAACCATTTATATGGCACAGGAATGATGTGTTCCTTCAAAGTTGAAAGGCATCTTCAAAGATTCTTCATGTGGTAAAATATTCTGCCTGGCATGGGGTGGTGGGTTGTGTGTGTGTGTGTGTGTGTGTACACATGTGCATGTGAACATTATTATGTTTGTCCATGTTTTAAATGACATGTAAGGTACTGCTCACTAATGGAACAACTTTGTTTTAACTGCCTTTCTTTTCTCCCTGAAAGGGGACCCAAAATGATCAAGTGTTAAATCCCAGCTAGGTGCCAGTGCTCATGCCTCTAATCCCAGCTACCCAGGAGGTTTGGATCTTCGGATTGCAGTTGAAAGCCAGCTGAGGCTGGAAAATCCATCAGATTTTCTCCAGTTAGCTACCCAAAAGATGGAAGAAGAGCTGTGCCTCAAGTGTTATGAGTGTTAGCCTTCAGCAAAACAGCTCAGAGGCAGTGCCAAGGCCCTGAGTTCAAGCCCCAACAAGTGCACACACAAGTATACACACACACACAAATCAAATCCCAGGCATTAGGTTCAAGAGTTTCCCTCTTCAAGTCACATGAAGGAGGCTGTAGAAGGTGGTTGGGGAGTGCTGGATGCAGTACCCTTCCACCAAAGCTGGCCAGCCTTGGGCTGGGAATATGGCTTAGTGGTAGAGTGCTTGCCTAGCATGCATGAAGCCCTGGGTTCGATTCCTCAGTACCACATAAGCAGAAAAGGCTAGAAGTGGCACTGTGGCTCAAGTGGTAGAGCACTAGCCTTGAGTTGAAGAGCTGAGGGACAGCGCTCAGGCCCAGAGTTCAGACCCCACTACCGACAAAGAAAAGAAAGAAAAGAAAAGGAAAGAAAACCAAAGTCAACTGGGAAGGCTGAGGCAAGAAGAATTGTGAGTTCGAAGCCAGTCTGGGCTACATTAGTGAGTCTTTTCCTCCAAAAGCACACACAAAAAGGAAATCAATGTCAAGGACAGCCATGTGTACATCTGAAGAACCAAGAAAAAGCCATGGGCAGTGTTCTGTCATGACAGACAATGGATTTTCAACTGAGAATATGGTAACAAACACTGTAACAAAACTTTTTTCTAGGGGTGATAGTCACTTTTAACTATGTGCTACTTAAACTCTTCCTTATTTTTAAAAGGTTTCTTCAAAATAAATTCTAATGAAAAAAAACACTCTAGTAAAAAAAATAATCCACAAACACTAAAATTTTTTAATACATTTATTTACCTCATCCCTAATCAGTGACCGCTAATATATTCGTTGCACAGAGTTAATTTCGGAGATTAAACATGGACATAAACACATAAAGGTGACAACGTTTTGAGATGTATGACACTAATAAAGGTAACATTTATTGGGCCAGCCACTGGGCTAAGCATTTTATTGGATTACTTCAGTTAATCCTTAAAGCAGACTTACAAAGTAGGCGCCATTCTTATTCCTGCTTTATAGATAACGGTTATAAATGAGGGACCTCATTACTGTAATTTAATAAATTCTGACCCAGAATTAGAGTTCAGTGTTTACTCTGGCTATAAAAAGGTTGAATAAACAAATTAGAAATTACGGAGGATGGCGGCAGGCACAGTGAGCCCATGAGAAGATCTCTTGTTCTGTGGCATACTGGAAAGCAGAGGCTACCACAAACGGCTCAGGGAAGATTCTGCACCAAACTGTGAGGTTTATTTCAATACTTTAAAGCCAGGTGCATGAGGCACTGGTGGCTCACGCCTGTAATCCTAACTAGGAGGCTGAGATCTGAGGATCACAGTTCAAAGCCAGCCCAGGCAGGAAAGTCCCCAAGACTCTTATCTTCAACGAACCACCAGAAAACCGGAAGTAGCACTGTGGCTCAAGTGGAAGAGCGCTAGCCTTAAGCTGAAGAGCTCAGGGACCGCGCTCAGGCCCAGAATTCAAGCCACACAGCCCAATTTGTACAAATGATACAGCACGGTAGCTGTCAACTGGTATTCACAGTACCCATTCCTCCCACGCCCCGAAAATGCTCGGAGCTTTAAGTACGCCCTTCTTCCCTGGATCATAGAGCAGAAGCTAGTCCCAAGGACTAACTAACCTAGAAACTAGTGAGCGAAGAGACAGAGAATCTGGATGCCTTAAGATGCTTAGGCGCTGCTGATTCACACCTTGCCTGCAGCCCATCCCATCCCTGCCCATTGCAAATAGATGAGTTCATTCATACTCTTGTGCTGGCGGAGACTCTGGGCTCAGTTTTCTGGTATTCACAGCCCCAAAGAGGCTCAACTGATAAAGGAAAAGAGCTTCTCTGGTCTGAATGCTTGTGATCTCTCAACATACATGTGTTGAAATACCACCACCACCACCACCACTACCACCACCGCCCCCCCCCCCAAGGCAGTAGGGACAGGGCCTCTGGGAAGTAAGTGGATAATTACAAGGTAGAATGAGTATCTTCATCAAAAGAGGCCCCTCAGTCCTATGAGGGCTTGGTGAGAAGCCAGAAGTGTGCACCCCACGCCCGGCCCCTCGCTGGAGCCTGGCCATGCCAACACCTCTGGCAGGATTTCAGCCTCCAGAACTGGAAGGAAGCCACGTGCAGCCAGAAGCCACCATGCCCAGAGCTCTGTGCACCAGACGGAGTAGACTAAGGCCAGTGCCAGTCTACAGCTTTTCCACATGGACAGTCGTTTGTACCCTGAACAATTTACAACCATTTTGCAATGGCAGAAGAGCCAGGATGTCCTTGGCCCCAGGCCAAAAGACCCTGAAAACCAACACACAGGCCCTCAGCTCGCTGCCCAGGGCAACTTCTCTGGCATAGATCGGTAGGTGTCAGCCCCAGAGCCGCCCTCCTCCCATTCCTGGGCTTTTCCCACAGTGCAGAGATCAAAGAGACGACCACGGGATTCCTTGCTCATAAACTACTGTGGCCACAAAGAATTTCAAAATGGTGGCGTGGCTCAGATGGTAGAGCATTCAGCCTGGGAACAAAGGCACTAGGCCTTGAGTTCAAGTCCTGGCTCTGGGTGGGGATGGGGAGGAGAAGGAAATACTAGGAGAATTCTGAGAAGCTACCTGTTTGGGATTAAAAGGAGCACTCCTTTAGGATCATCCTGCTTCTGTGTCTTCCTCCTTCAGAATCTTCTAGAACCGAGGCCTGTCAGAGGGATCCAAACAACACATTCAGGGCAGGAAGGAGCAATCAGGGAGCGTTGAGAGCTCTGTGGAACCCCACAGCTGAAGGGGAGTGGGGGGAGGTGAGGAAGGCCCCACCCCAGCTTGAGGCAGGAGAAGGTTTAGAGGAAAAAAGACATAACCTTCCTTTTTCTAGAAATTCAAAAGCCCAAGCCATCATGGCTCCCTTCTTCCCCACAGTCCGCATGGAATCCCCCAGCAAACGACGCCAATGTTTAGCCATCCCCAGCCACCACCCCTCTGCCATGACCTCTTCAGTTCAGACTGGTGATGCCATCCTGGACGGGGTGCCCTCACAACCAGCACGGGGCGTGACCCCCAGCCCCACATCTACCATCCTTACTTAAGAGAAGGCCTCTGTGTGTGTGTGTGTGTGTGTGTGTAGGGCGAGCCCCTCCCTTAACATGGCTGGCCTGTGTGTGTGTGTGTGTGTGTGTGTGTGTGTGTGTGTGTGTAGGGCGGGCCCCTCCCTTAACATGGCTGGCCTGTGTGTGTGTGTGTGTGTGTGTGTACGCGCGCGTGTGTAGGGCGGGCCCCTCCCTTAACATGGCTGACCTGTGTGTGTGTGTGTGTATGTGTGTGTGTGTGTGTGTGTGTGTGTAGGGCGGGCCCCTCCCTTAACATGGCTGACCTGTGTGTGTGTGTGTGTGTGTATGTGTGTGTGTGTGTGTGTGTGTGTGTGTAGGGCGGGCCCCTCCCTTAACATGGCTGGCCTGTGTGTGTGTGTGTGTGTGTGTGTGTGTGTGTGTGTGTGTGTGTAGGGCGGGCCCCTCCCTTAACATGGCTGACCTCTGTGTGTGTGTGTGTGTGTGTGTGTGTGTGTGTGTGTGTGTAGGGAGGGCCCCTCCCTTAACATGGCTGGCCTGTGTGTGTGTGTATATGTGTGTGTGTAGGGCGGGCCCCTCCCTTAACATGGCTGACCTGTGTGTGTGTGTGTGTGTGTGTGTGTGTGTGTGTGTGTACGCGCGCGTGTGTAGGGCGGGCCCCTCCCTTAACATGGCTGGGTCCCCTGGAAGCAGCAGAACCTAGGACAGATTCTTCCCAGACACCTGTTCATTTATGAGGAGAGGAGAAAGGGGTGAAGGTCTGAGGTCTACAGGAGGTTGAGCCCCCCACCCCCAGCCCCTGCACAGGGAGGGGCTCTTGGGCCAGGAAAGGGCGTGTCCTCTCTGAACCTAGCCACAGATGGAGGCCCAAGATGGGAGGCCCAGGATGGGAGGCTTTCTGTGTGAAGGAAGCCAGGCTGTCTTCTGTGCTTGGTGGGGCATGTAGGCAGAGGGCTGGGTCGGGGGTGGAGGAGTCTTGTGGCACCGCACCATGGGATATCACCAAACTCCAGGGCTGGCCCTCTTTCAATGTGTGCCCTGAGCTCCTGTGGTACTAGCAGCCGTGAGAGACACAACTGGTTTGATGCACAGCTTCCCCTGCCCCGCTCCAGGGCAGCCAGGATCCAGAAGAAAAGTGTTTCCCAAACAGAAAACAAAGATCCCCAAATAGTCCTGACTTTGCCACCTAGCAGCTGTTCAACATGGGCTGCTCACTCAACCTCTCTGAATGCAGTTCTGCAGGGACTGAGGTGAGCAGTAAACAAAACGAGACTCGCATATGAAAACATCCAGTGCAAGGCCTGGCAGTTACATAAGGGGCCTACTTAATGCTATTCCTTCCCTCCCTCCCTCCCTTCAGCCTCAGGCCTCAGGCTCTCTCAGCACTCACTAATAGAAACAAGCCCAGAAGCTCCAGAATGTTCCCCAGCCAGAAGGTTTGCAAAGCAGGATAACAAGAGCCACCCCCGGCTGGTGAGAGAGCGCTGGAGCTTACAAACTTGTGGGGCCTCAGATCACCCCCAAATGGGAAGCTTGTGACAGACTTCGAAAAGAATGCACACACAGGGCAGGCTGCATAGCACTGCATAAAGATGGAGTCCAGCCCTTCTGGGGGGCTCAGGGTGGAGGCAGGGGCGTGGCCAGCCCACATTCCAATGCACCTCTTTCTCTTCCTCTCCCAGGATGCTCCCTGTCCCGTGCTCCGCCCAGGCACACCCAGGGGAGGGATCTGTGTCAGACTGCAGGGAGATACTTTGGTTGCCCAAAGCCAGCCTGGGTCACGTGGTTGCTCACCAGGAGATAGCAAGAAAAGCAGAGCATTCCGAACAGCCGCCAGGGCTGTGGGGGGGAGGGGGACTTTGGGGTGAGACACCACTTCTCAGCTGGGAGACTTGAGCACAGAAAGAGGAAGTGACAAGCCGCCAGCTTGTTGCTGGGCCAGTATGTTTCCCTGGGTGCCTGAGGACTCTGGTGGAGTCCTCCCACTGCAACGTGCCATTTTGTTCTCAGAAATCCCATCTGGCTATGGGTTCATTCATTCATACGGGTCCTGACAGTGTGGGGCTCTGGAGATTCAGCTGGGGGGGGGGGGGGTTCCTTTTCTTTTTTCTTTTTCTCTTTGTTTTCTTTTTCTTGGCTGGTCCTGGGTCTTGAACTCAGGGCTCGAGCACTGTCCCTGAGTTGTTGTTGTTGCCCAAGGCTAGCACTCTACCACTTGAGCCCCAGCCCCACTTCTGGTGGTTAATTGGAGATAAGATTCTCATTGGGAGCTGGGAAGGTGGCTCAGAGGTGGAGTGCTTGCCTAGCATGCATGAAGCCCTGGGTTCAATTCCTTAGTACCACAGACACAGAAAAGGCCAGAAGTGGCGCTGTATCTCAAGTGGTAGAGTGCTAGCCTTGAACAAAAGAAGCTCAGGGACAGTGTCCAGGCCCTGAGTTCAAGCCTTAGGACTGCCAAAAAGAAGTCTCATAGACTTTCCTGCCCAGGCTGGCTTTGAACCATGATCCTCAAATCTCAGCCTCCTCACTAGCTAGGATTACAGATATGAGCCACCAGTACCCAGCTTAGCTGGTTTATTTTCTTTTCCTTTTTTTTTTTGCTCTGAGTCTGGAACTTGAACCTGACCCTTCCAACTCATTGGCTAGTGCTCTGCCAATGGTAGCTGACTTATTTCTAAGTGCAGCTAAGTGGGGCCTCTCAGAACTCAGTCTCTCTAAGAACTTAGTCTCCCTCAGAACTCAGTCTCCCCCATATCTGCGGTTAAGCCTGTTTCTGGACAACGTGTTTATGGGAAAGGTGCTGATAAATACTTGGTAATGAATAACCATCCACATCATTTCTCCTAGCAACACACACACTATTATGCTGGCCACCACCACCACCGTCTCAGATTCACCTGCAGCTGAGTCAAGACCCTGGTTGCAACCCTCCTGGGAGGTCAGCCCCATAGTAAACTCAGCCACCCCCATTTTACCATTCACCCCACTTAGCACCTCTCCCAAGTGCTTCCCCACACCCTGCCCAAGGGAGGTTCTAAAAAACAAAAAAAAAAAAAAAAAAAACTCATTTAGGAAGAGCCAAACCCCAAACTTCACTGGTAAAAAATGAAATCGCACCAAGGTACTGTAAAACCCCTCCCCCTCAGTGTAGAACTGAGATCTGATAAACTTCCCCAGACCGGCCCTCCTCATTTGGAGGTATACTTTGGTCTATATCTGTCTTGGAGAAACAGCAAACACTTCCAGGAAGATCTTCAAGTTCAGTGTTTCGGTGTCGGCTGTACAGAGATGGCCTCGGGCCTTCACTCAGTGTCTTACACAACCAGGGGATAAAAAAGATTAAAGCACATGCTTTCAACTGGCTCAAAAACTTATTGAAGGTTTGAGGACATTTATGATCCTGATTTATGGATGGAAGACCCTGGATCATGGACCCAAAGGAATGAGGGAGAGATTATCAGTAAAACAAAACTAAAATAAAAGAGGAAGAAGAACAAGACTCGCTGGTATGTGAGATGTTCACAAGACTCGAGTGCCTGGCCGGTGAGAGAAGCAAATTATATAACACAATCCGTGGGACCATAGGTGCTACTATAAGCTGAAATCAAGCTGGACTTACACAAGCAGTTGGGATGGCCCAAACTAGGGCTTCAGTATAAATTTCCCAGACCACACACAAACACACAGACAGACACACACGCACACAGACATACACATGTATGCACAGTCTGGCCCATGTGCTCAGCAGGGCTCTGGTGCTTCAGGGTAGTTTTTCTTGATTTTTTTTTCAAGTGGCTCAGTGACTAATGGGTATCTAATCTCTGAGAAAGAAAACCGAGACCTTAAAAAAAAAATTAAGGAAAGCTAAGGATGGGCTGTAGCTCAGGGGTAGAGCACTTGCCTGGCATGTACAAAGCCGTGGGTTTGAACCACAGTAACATAAATATAGAAAGATGATAGATGAAGCCAGGCACCAGTGGCTCACGCCTATAATTCTAGCTACTCAGGAGGCTGAGATCTGAGGATCACAGTTCAAAGCCAGCTTGAGAAATAAAAGTCAGTGAGACTCTCTAATTAACTACTAAAAAAAGGCCAGGCAGGAAAGTCCATGAGACTCTTATCTCCAATAAACCACTAGAAAACCGGAAGTGGTGCTGTGGTTCAACTGGTAGAGTGCTTAGCTTGAGCTGAAGAGCGAGGGACAGCGCTCAGGTCCAGAGCTCAAGCCCCATGACCAAAAAAAAAAAAAAAAGCCCGAAGCAAAGCTGTGACTCAAGTGGTAGAGTACTAGCCTTGAGCAAAAAAGCTCAGGGATACCAACCAGGTCCTGAGTTCAAGCCCCAGGACTGGGACCAAAGTAGGGAAAAAAAGGTGACAGCCAGATAAGTAAGCCCAAGATTACTCTAGTTAGAGACCAAATCAAAACCAAACCTACTACCAATTCTGCTCAGGTTCTGTTGGCTTTTCTTTTCTATACCTAGGGCATGGACTTTTCTGTTTTTGCTCAAGGCTGACACTCTACTAATTGAGCTACAGCTCTATGCCTGGCTTTTTGGTGGTTAACTGGAGATAAGACCCTCATGGACTTTTCTGCCCAGTTTGATTCTGAACTTCGATCTTCAGATCTCAGTCCCTG